GTATTTTCCTGTTTTTATTCCAAATTCTGGTTTCTGTGTTTTCTGTTTTATTTTTATTTTCTGGTTTTTGTGTTTTTGTTTTAATAAAGTAAATAAAATCAGAATTTTATTAATTTTTCACTTTTTAATAGACTAGTCTTCACATTCACATGCAAAGTATGCAAAAAAGTGGTAAGCCGGGTGATGTTTCTGTACTTGCGAGAAGTTCGCTAGATCCTGATGGTAGACATTATTAAATTGTCCTTTAAATATATTTTATTTTCAAGTTAAATTGGCCTTTCCAGACAGTGATGGTTCCACAACAAATTCTTGTCCAGAAGATGACCATCAAATTTTTCCTGAAGAGACGGTAGAGGAAATAAGAAAATTTTTTCCTTGAAAAAAATTTAAATTTTAGGGAGAAATAAGTGAATTAGAAGAACAACAACACCTTCAAAAATTAGAAGAAACCAATAATAATATTAGGGAACAAACACAACGAACATCTCAACATCAATTAATTAATAATTTTGGTTTTGATGAAAATAAAAAAGATTTTTTGTTGCCTTCTCCTTTACCACAACAAAATAACAATCTTCATTCAAATATTCAAACAACAGGAATTTTCCCTCCTCCCCAAAATCAACAACAACAACGACAAAATAATTTTGGACCCCCTAATTTTAGTGCTGCAGAAATGCTTCTGTCAAAACTTGGAGGATTTATTAATAATGAAGAGAAACAATTGCAGCAACACAGTTTGCTTCAGAATAATACACCGCCTACTGCTGCACAAACATTGCTAGCAACATTTGCGGTGAATCAGAATTCTAATAAAATCATAATTTTAGCTAAAATCAGAATTTTAACCAAAACCAGAATTTCTATTTAAATAAGAATTTTAACTAAAATCAGAATTTTTATTAAAACCAGAATTTTTATTAAAATCAGAATTTTTATTAAAACCAGAATTTTTATTAAAATCAGAATTTTTATTAAAATCAGAATCTTAACCAAAATCAGAATCTTAACCAAAATCAGAATTTTAGCTAAAATCAGAATTCTGAAAAATAACAAGCATCTTGTTTCAGAATTTTTAATTAAATCGAGATCAAAAAAACCAGAATTAACAAAATCAGAATTTTAAATATAAATCAGAATTATTTTCAGCAACATCAGAATTCCCACCAGACACCTCAACAACATCAGTTGCTTCATTTAATTGCTAACAACCCCTATCTTCTAGCTGCCGCTGCTTCACCATCACCATCATCTTCCGCTTCTGTTTCATCAAATAATGATTTTAAAAATATAATGTTGCAACATCCAAATAATCATTTTCCCCATCCTCCTCCAAATCATTTACCTATTGCTGCAAATATTTCCCCACAATTTGCTAACACTAATGTGCTTCAATCACTCTATGCAGCAGTTGCTTCAGCTGCTTCAGCGGTTGCTTCAACATCGAATTCTGCTTCGATATCGAATTCTGCTTCGGTAACGAATTGTTCTTCGTCTTCAATTTCAAAACAACCTTTATTAACGGAAAATATTAAACACAAAAAACAAAAGCTTCAACCTCCCTTAAAGAAAAGACGAGGAGAGAAGAGAAAGTCGTCTTTAAACAATGCTATAATTAAAAATAAAAATTCTGCTACAACAACAACAATGCCTACAATGGATTTAAGTTTGCAAATATTGCAGAAAGGACAGAGTGATAGAGGGGTAAAGACTAAGAAGACGTCAGCTAATAATGAAGCAAATCAAGAAGCAAATCAGGAAGTCCCCCCAAATCGTTGTGAAAGTCTCTCCCCTTCAATGGGCAAACTCAATTCTTTAATTACCAATCTGTTAGCAATAAAAGGGGGAAACAACAACAACAACAATATTAAACAAGAACACAGTCCTGGTGATGATTATGATGGGAATAATGGAGGAGAGTCTTCTTCAGCTTCTGAAAGACGAAATAAACGAAAAATGCGTACTCCTGCACGTGCTGCAGAAGTTGCTGCAGCTTTGATTAATGAAAAGAAGCTTGGAAATGTTGCTTCTGCTTCTAATGAGGTGTTGAGAAAAAACTTTTTTTCCCTCTAAAATTCAATTTTTGTAGAATAACAATAATGGCTCGGTAACCAGCCAACCTTCGCCTGCAGTTTCCGATTCACAAACAAGCAGTGGGGGAAGCAATGGCAACAACAACGATGAACATCAACAACAACATATGGATTTTGAAGCAAATAAGGAGGATGGTCCATCAACATGGATGTGCTCTTCCTGTCAGGCAGGTGCTTTTATAAAAATATCCTGAAAAATCTAGGCTGGGGCAAATATGGGCATTTTGAAATTGGGCATTTTGGAATATGGACCAATTGAAAATTGGACAAAATGTCCATTTTTACTTACTTGGACGAAATGTCCATTTTACTTAAATGGACGAAATGTCCATTTTTACTTAAATGGACGAAATGTCCATTTTTACTTAATTGGACGAAATGTTCATTTTTACTAACTTGTTTACTTAATTTCAGGTAATTAAAACAAGATTTGAAACAAAAGACCCACTTCCTCCTCTTCAGTCGCTAACAAAACTTCAAGACAACATTGTTCAGTTACAGTCTCTCTCTGAACGTATTGTTTCATTAGCATCGATAAAAGGAGAAGATAATGATAGTAACGAGCTTTTGGAGAGTGCACAAAAATTGCACCAAATATTAATTAGTGTTGTGGAGGAAAATCAAATTAATGAAAGTTAGAAACGAAAAAAATTTTATATTTTTTTATCATAAGCCCAAAACTCCTTAAAGTATATTTTTCGTTAGAAATAGCAGCAAATTAAAGCCAACTTTAAGCAAAGAAACTTCAATTTAAATTCAATTTTTTGGTCTAATTTTTGATTTAAAAATTCTTTATTGCTGCTACATAAATAAATTTAAGAGGTAGAATTATTAGAGCTGTCTATGACCAAAAATTATTCGAAAACCAGGACCAAAATTTATAAAATTAATTATAGAGCTAATAGAACTATCTGTCTACCAAATTTCATCTCGAAGTCCCACGAACACCCCCACAGCCTCTCGTTTGTTAATCTAGGACTAAGGATAAGACGTTACCTCAAGACGAGGAAACCTCTTAATATTTTCGAGTCCAAATCTAGTTTTAGACAGCTCTCTTTCCCCTTCCAGTAAGCCAAAATCAACACTTTGTGCTTAATCGAATTAGACCAGGGCTTCGACCTCGAAATTTTAAAAATCCGCAATTTTATTCGAAAAAATCCGCATTTGATATGAAAAATCCGCAAAAAATTATCAAGCAAAAAAAATGAATTAAAATCACTTTATGCGTTATATTTTTTGACTCCAACATTTGAATTGAGCAATTTTTTCACTACTAATGACTATCTTATTAAAATTCGAACAATAAATAAAAAATTACTGTTGATTTGAGTCAATGCTTTCACCGTCCCTGGTTGTAGTGAATTGTTTACTCGAAAATATTTTTTTGCGCCGCAGGCGAAAATTCTGGGAATTTTGGAAGACCAAGAAGCCAAAAATCGTCCTTTTCAGCGCCGCAGGCAAAAATTTTGAGAATTTTGTAAGGCCAAGAAGCCAAAAATCGTCCTTTTCAGCGCCGCAGGCAAAAATTTTGAGAATTTTGTAAGGCCATGAAGACAAAAAATGACATTTTATCCTAAAAACTACAAAAAAATACAAAAAATCCTCATAATCTTCAAAAGACCACAAAAATCCGCAAATCCGCATTTTTAAAAATAATCCTCATCGCCCTATCAAAAAACCACAAAATGAGGAAAAATCCGCAGAAATCGAAGCCCTGAATTAGACTACCTATTAAAAATCACTTAAAAGTCATCCATTTCCTCAAAACTATGTTTAGAATTTTCAAATTTATTCTCTCTCTACTCTATATTTTTCCTCAGTTTTTGATATCATATTTTTTAGATTTTTTTGCTATTCAGAACCCTCAGGAAATCAAATTTTAGTTTCGTCTACTTATACTCTCCCAGTTTTAAAAATTTATTTTGTCTGCATTCATAAATATTTCGCAACTTTACAATTTTATTTTAGACTATTTTAATTAGTACAATAATACAAAGAATATTACTATTTACATATGAAAATTACTTAAAATAAATTTTAAATAAAAAAAGAGAATTATAAGAAAAGAGAAGTGTGGAAAGCAGGCTTAGTAATGGATACAGATACCGTAAATCCTCTAAAATAACCCTTCCCCCTCTAAAATAACCCTTCCCCCTCTAAAATAACCCCCCTCTGGAGGTCGATCGAAAAAATAACCCCCGAGGCTATTTTAGAGGATTTACGGTAAGTTCAAAATGAATGCGGATATTCATCTGTATCCGCCTTAAACATCTGGATACGGATACCAAAATCTATGTCCATTACCAAGTCTAGTGGAAAAAATACTTTTTAAATTTAATTGAGTAAAATAGGAAAATTTTTAAACAATATTATGAAATAAAATAGCTTTAGAGAATTTTAAATGTTGAATAAAAAAATCAGAGAAATAGGAAAACTGACCAGAAATATTGTCAAAAATATATTAAAAGGGTTGTCGGTTCTTGGAAAATTTTCAAATATTTGGAACCGAAAAATCTTCAGTTCACCGACAACCTATCCTTGGACTCACACCACTATTATTTTATTGTCGGGCTTCACTATAAAATACTACAGAATTATACATACCTCTCATGGATCTTTTTAGCTTCAAGGTGGAAAAATTTTTTTTAACTTGAATAAAATAGGAAAAAGCTTCAAGGGAATGAATATCTTATAGCGATGTCCGACTGTGTACAATCGAGAAATTTGTGTAAAATAATCTAAACTAAACGTTGTAGCGGGGTTGGAATTGTATTATTCTTCTAAAGGTACTTGGGAGAAAATTTTTTTTTAAATTTTCCAAAAAAAATTTTTTTTGGTCTGTAAATGTCTGGTAAAAAACTCAATGTCCTTAATAACCCCCTAAAAATCAAAAAAAAAATTTTCTTTTTATAAAGCAAAAATGTTGTTATTCTTTCTCTGCTTTCTCATTGAATGAACAAATTTTTGTACAAACTTTTCCACTTTTTCAGGTTTGAGGGATTCACGTTTGCTTAGTTTAGCAACACCTCTTTTCATAATTTCTTTATATTCGTCTTTGGTGATTTTTCTTTTACTTAAAAAAAAGAAATTTTTGGTACTACTGAAGATAGGAGGGCTTTTTCTGCGGACTTTTTTTGCGGACTTTTCTTCCCTTCTTTTAAATGTTTTTTTTAATGGTTTGGTTGTTTTGCAACTTTTGATTGTAGCAAATAACTGTCAAAGGATTAATTTTTGTCAGTTTGAAAAATAGGTGTTCACCATTAATTTGAACATTATAAATGTAAAAAATTTACAATCAATGAAAAATTTTACTTTAACTAAATTGTATGATAAAATTCAATTACCCATGATGAATTTCAACAATGGTCTCTGAATGCTTCATAGAAAAGGAACTATTGTGGATTCAGAGATTGTGGAACAGAAATGCGGGTAATTTCAAACCTTGCCCCTCCCCCCCCCCCCCCCCCATTATTTTTATTACCTAAGATTGTACAAAATGGTCAGATTTCCTTCTTCCTATCTTTCCTCTATTTGAGCTTGGCATATTCAAACAAAAAACGTTGTTGATAAAGAGAAGATTAAACTTAATTGAGTTGTTCAATATTGAGTTCAATTTATTTTTTCAGTTGTTCAATATTTTTAAATATAAGTAAGAATGTAATGTTTTTACACAGAAATTCATAATATTATACACAAATCAATTTTATATAATTATTTTTTTGTGTAACATTGTTTTTTAAGGCAAAATATAAGTGTATGACTATAAAATTAATCTTCTCTTTATCAATGTCTCTTGTTGAATATGTCAAAGGGCAAATAGAAGGAAGGAGAGGATGAAGAAAATCTGAACATTGTGTACAATCTTAGGTAAGAAAAATAATAAGGGGGAGGGCCTTTGACAGTTAGTTGCTACAAGTAAAACATTTAAAAGAAGGGAAGAAAAGTCCGCAAAAAAAGTCCGCAGAAAAAGCCCTCCTATCTTCAGTAGTACCAAATTTTTAAGTAAGAAAAATTTTTTAAATATTTTGACAGAGATCTATCTCTCTTCGGCCTGGAGAATTTGACATTTTATTAACAAAGATACAGCGCTTTTCGAAATTAATTCTGGAACTTCACCTTAGAAGGGCGGGGAGTAGGAGGGGCTTTATTTAGACTTTATTTAGAAAAGTTCCTGGCAACAGATGTTAAAAGTCAAACACATATGTTGATGGTAGAGCCCGGCGGTAACATAATATAGTCGGCATTTATCGGTATTTAACCTATATTTTTCGGTATTACGGCACGGAATGTGATATGGTACAAAATTCATCTCTAATTTAAGCAGAAATCAGTTAACGAAATATCTCGACTTTAACAACTATGGCCCACTTTCTATCTTAAAAACTAACGCGAAGTAAGGCTTTAAGGATTGCTTCATTAAAGCATCCGCAGCCTGAACACTTTTGCTACGCTTTTTTGTTGGTGTTGTTGAAGTGTTGTTGTTTTTCTTCTTTTCTGGTGAAATATTATTGAAATGAGCACCTCCAGAAGTTGATTGTCTCTCATTTAATGTTTCATCTTCAATATCCATAGGTGAATCTGCTCCAAAATGACTGCTTGACTGTTAAAAAAGGTAATTTTGGATTTAAAAAAAATTAACTGAGTAAAGAGGCTGAACTCTTCCCGAGAAAACAGCAAAAAAGATCGGAATCGGAGATAGATACTGACAAAACGGGCACGTAAATGTTAGTTATATAGTAGGTCGATCAGATTTACTTAAAAGTGTGGATAAGGGATAGGATTTCTTCCGGTTCCATTTTTCGTCTACTTCCGTCCCTTTTGGCCTTTCAGGTTCCATTTTTTTCATTTTCTTCCGCCTTTAATGAGGCAGTGTTCATCCATGTTGTGAAACTCTACTGAATTTTTATATTGAGAGGCTTATTCTTGCCCCAAAAGCTTGTTATTGTTATCTAACAGATATTTCGACCTCAAACTGGCAATTTTCACCAGACTAACAATGAGAGGAAACCTCTCCTTCCAGCACAATTTATAACCCAAACAACACTTTACAAAAAAAAATTAAAAAAAAATTTACGTTAAGCGGTGGTGGAGGGGGCGGTATCAACAAATCAGCATCATTATTAACATGTTCTTGATGTCGTTGCCCTTCAATATTTAAAGGATTAGGTAGTGGTGGCGGAGGGGGAGGTGGTGGTGGGGGAGGAGGAATTGTTGGAGGGGGTAATGTTGGTAAAGGAACGGGTAAAGGGGAATTCGGGTCTAAGGAAGAATTGTCTGAATCATCAATAATTATCTCTTGTTGTTGTTGGGAGTGTTCAAAATTATTTTTTTGTTGTTGAAGAGAAGATGAAGGGAGTAAGCTTTGTTGTTGCTGAATGTCACTAGCTTGTTGGTGAAAAATTTCACGAGGATTCTGAGAGGAAGACAAAACAGAATTTTGGGTTTGAAGTAATTTCTGTTGCTCAAAATTGTTCTGGTTTAAATTTTGAAGTAAATTCTGATGTAATAAATTCTGATTTTGTTGGTGTAAATCAGCTAAATTTCCTCTATTTAAAAAACTATTCATTATTCCTCGTTGATTTAATAAATGCCGTTGGGTTTGATGAGGATTTTGTGGACGATAAAATGCTGCTGTAGCATCGTTTAAAGCTGGATTAATGAAAGGAGGTGCAAAGACAGGGAGAAACGGCATAAAACCTGGAAAAGAGAGAATTAATTTAGGGTATTTTGAGGTAGTGGCATTTTGTCGTATAGGCATTTTGTCTTTTTGACATTTTGAAATTTTTTGATAAAATTTTTAAAAATTACCCGTGGGTGGCCTAGCATTAATTCCACCAGCAAATCCGGGTGGCGGCAATGGAAAATTAACAAGTTGATTATTTGAAGTTCTGTCAGATGGGACTGGAGGCGGAGGAAAATTCAAAAATGCTGCCGCTAAATTTTCTGCTGAAGGCAGAAAATTATTGGGCAAAATTTTGGGATCGTCTGGGGTGACATTATGGGTATCGTTGTTGTTATCCTTAATTGTTGTAGACATTTTTGGAAGTTAATAAATTAAATATTAAATTTTTTTTAATTTTGAAAATCTGAAAATAATTGAGATTTTTAAAGTGGAGATTGACAAGGAATTGCAAAATAAACAAAAAAATGATAAAATGCGAAAGGAAATAAAAGATGAAAATTTTTTTTTGGAAATTAGAAGACGCGCATTTAAATTTCCGGCACTTTTAGAAAGGAATCAGAGTTGGCCGAAATTTTTAAACAATAATGTAAATAACCAGTGATAGCTGAAATTATTTTCAGTGATAGCTGAAATTTCCTACCAGGGATGGCAGAAACGAAACGAAAATATTTCTTTCTTCGGTCATCCCTGACACCTAATAAGTTCCCCCACATTTTTTTCAAAATTCCAAACTTTGCCGGTCCTCTTCTGGTCCTTGCAGGTGAACAAATCTTCTTGACCACGCATTATAATATCCAAATCAACTGAAGTTGAAGGCTTTTCTGCCACCTTTTCTTTGTGTTCCTCAACATGTTTAGTTGGTAATTCATCGGAAAACCTTTAAAAATAAATTAGAAAATATTTAATAAAAATAAACAACAAACTCTAAAAGGTCCAAGCCTCTTATCTTTTCGCCAAGACGAAGTGGAATTTTTGGAGAATTGCTTACAGGCAGGGCAAAATTCTAAAAAAAATTTTTTAATTTCTTGGAGGCAAATTTAAAAATAATTTGGTAGAGACTAAGCTAAGCTGTGGAAGGTCTGTGGGTTTTCAGTTACCCAGGAGGCAAATTTAAAGATTTTGTAGAGATCATGTTGGACTATGAAAGGTCTGGGATTTTCAGTTACCCAAAGCCCAGACATTTTTAAATGTTTCCAGATGGGCTTTCTGAACCTCAGTCACAATTTAGTAAATTCAAAAATTGTTCAAGCTCACTTTGAGTTCAAGAAAATTTTTTTAATTTCTTGGGAGGCAAGTTTAAAGTTTTGTTAGAGATCGAGTTGGGGCTGTGCAAGGTCTGGAGTTTTCAGTTACCCAAAGCCCAGATACTTTTTAAACGATTCCGGATGGCTTTTCTGAATTCAGACACAATTTAAAAAATTCAAAAATTGTTCAAGCCAATTTTTTGAGTTTCCAGGGATTTTCCATTTCTCATGTCAAATTTATGTTAGTGGATTCGAAAATTGTCCAGGCCCGAATTCAATAATATTCTAATTTCAGTCTCTATATTTATTTACGAGTAAATAACCTTTAATTTCTTGCTTTCTTTCCCAGAAATTGTTGGCCTTTTAACACTTCCTCTTTTCTTCTTTTTGCTCTTCACTTTCTTTATTTTAACAGATTTTCTAGTAGATTTCCTATTTTTTAACTTTTTCACACATTTCTTTATTGTAGACTTTCCTTTTGTTAATTTCCTTTTCAAAGACTTCTTTTTCCCTGACTTTTTTGAAGATTTTCTTTTCTTCTTGACTTTCTTCTTTTTACGTTTGCCGGAAGGAGGCATCTAAAATTATTAAATTAATTAATTTATAAAATAAAAATAAAACCTCCGGCAAATTAAATTCATTCTCATCAACCGAGTCATTATTCAAAACAAAGTCGTCTTCAGAAAAATGGCCAGGATCAGACATTTGGACCCTAAAAGCTTTAAAGAACTAGTTTATTATAAAATAGATTTTTCAACTATTTTGGGCAATTCATTTACTTGGCAATCCCGGAGAATTGGGGTCCCTGCGGAAAAAAATCTTAAAAATAAGAAAAAGGATTTTTCTAGGGTAAAAAAATACGCTAATTACAAATCCGAGCTCAGATTTTGAAAAAGTCGAATCCCGAACCCGAACCAAATTTCGAACCCTGAACCCGAATTTCGAATATGCAAATGATAGCTCGTTCGAAAGAGCTCGTCGAGCTGCATCGAATGACACCAAAATCAACGCGATCGAACCTGTTTCGACAAAGTTATGACATAAAGTAAACCTCTGGGAGTACTGTAAGTGACGGCGACTTATGTCATAACTTTGTCTAAACTTGATCAATCACTGTAATTTTGGTGTCATTCGACTCAGCTCGACCAGCTCTTTCGAATGAGATATCATTTGTACAAACTTTTTTTTACTCCAAAAATCACCCCTGTGGTTTTACAATATTTAGGGGTCTGTATCTCGGTTCAATCCGGTCGGATTTCATTGATTTTGGTGTCATTCGACTCAGCTCGATGAGTTCTAGATTCTTTTGGAAGACTAGCCATTTTGTACAATGTCCGACAATGTTCGGGGTCAAAAATCCTGTTCGGGGGCAAAAGTCCGAATTCGGGTTCGGGATTCGACTTTTTCAAAATCCGAGCTCGGATTCGTAATCAGCGTATTTTTTTACCCTAGAAAAATTCTTTTTCTTATTTTTAAGATTTTTTTCCGCAGGGACCCCAATTCTCCGGGATTGCCATTTACTTTATACTTTGTCTTAGATTTTTATAAGCATTCTCAAGCCGAAAACGGCCTCGATTTTTAGGAAATTTCCTCAAAATTTTTTATCGGGGATAAATTGTCATTTTAATTTTTAAAAAAACATTATGCCAAATTTATTAAATATTTAGTTGATTTAAAACGGAATATGATTCAGGATTAGAGACCGGCAAAATCGCACTTCCGGGATCCAGCATGCGTGATTTTTTTCTTAACCGATGCTGCGACGGAATCCCGAGGGATAAACCGAAAAAATCCCGGATCCCGAAAATCAAAAAAATCCATCGGGATCCCGTAAAAGTAGTAATGGAAACCCCCCAGTAGTCAACAAACACCCAAGTAGTCACCCCAGACTCAAACTCCCCTTGCCATCGATTTTTCATCAATAATTATTTACTGTACCTAACACTTTCTTCCCCTTTATTTTTCCCTTTTATTTTATTGATTTCAAGAAGGTTTGGGTTTCTCTATGAGAGAAAGCCAAAACCTTCTTACCAACCATTTTTTCCCACTTCTCCATTTTCGGAATTTTTTGCTTTTTTTATTAATACACTTAATTTTTAGATTCTTCGCCAAATTATACAGGAAATTGATTATGACAATGATGGAATTGTTTCGTTAGAGGAGTGGAAACGTGGGGGATTAATCACAATTCCTGTACTTGTTTTACTTGGATTTGACACGGTTTAATTTTAAAATTATTTTTGAGGCCAGAAAGGGGAAGGGAAGGAATTTAAGGGTTAGTAAAGAAGGGAGATGGCTGTTAAGCCTTTTATTTGATTAACTTTATTAAAATAAAATTTTTGTATATTTAGCAACATATTGCAATGTTTGTTTGAATATGTTAGTTGGTTGGGGAGGTAAACAAGGATTAGCTTGTTCTCTTTGTAAATACACTGTACACGAACGTTGTGTTCATTCAGCATCAAATAATTGTATTCATACATACAATTCTAATGCTTCTTCTATGAGAGAACAACCAATTCAACAACATTATTGGATGGATTCTAATTGGTTTTTTTATTAATTTTATTTTTTAAATATTTTTTAAAGTGCTGGAAAGTGTTCAAAATGTAAAGCAAATGTAGGAATATTTCAAGGGAGGCATTGTCGTTGGTTGATTGCCAAGCTGATCAAATTTTTATTTTTTATCAAATCTTATTATGGTATAATTTCATCATTTTTTCAGTTAAAAACAATTCCGTTATCACCAAATGGCCGTTCTCGCCCTCTATTGGTTTTAATTAATCCAAAAAGTGGAGGAAGGCAAGGCGAACGTATTTTTAGAATGTATGTTTTTCTATTGAAATTTATTTAGCTTTTAACATTCTATTTAACAATTTCTTTTTAGAATCGTTGTTATATTGGCTACACTGTCGACCCTAACAGGCGCATTCGTCAGCACAATTCTAGCAGAGAACATGGAGGAGCGAAAAAAAACTAATAGCAAAGGACCTTGGTATAATTTAAAAGACTGGATTTTAGTTTTAGAACTTAATTTAGGGATATGGTTTGTATAGTCCATGGCTTTCCAAATGCAATTTCTGCGCTCCAGTTTGAATGGGCTTGGCAAAACCCAGATAAATCAAAACGACTCAAACGTCGTTACATGCAAAAAGATCGGAAAGAAACTCCTTTTGCTTTTTCGCTTTCGAATTGTTATTCAAATGTTAAACACCCGACCTTGGCGAGAATTGGCATTGACTTTTAGGTTTTTACTTAATTTTAAGAATGTACAAGTTAAAGTTCAGGTGACTGATGAAGGTAATGAAAATTTGTGCTGAAATTCTTGTTATTTAGGAATATGAAATTCCTTTCAACCACAACTTGACCCTACCTCCACACATGAAATTGGCTTATGGAAAAGTGCAAAAATCATCGGTGTTGATTCCGATTGAACTGAATGCATACACAACATTAAGAAATTGTGAAGTTTGTAAATCATCAATTCCCCAGGTTATTTCAAAAATTAAATTTCTTTTTTAAATAATTTATTTGAAGATAATACACGCTCTTAGATGTCCAGTATTTGAAGTTTGTGGTGCGCATTTCCATGGTTTTTCTATTTAGAATAATAATAACTCACAACTTCTTAAAATTAGCTTCTTGTCTTGCTGAGCGTTGTTTAGAATCTGAAGGACATTTGGAGGAAAAGGTTTTAATGTGATAGTTGTGGTTGAGATGGAACTGTTGGATGGGTATTAGAATCAACGGGCAATTTTAATGGATTTTTTTGGATATTGTTGGCTTGTTTACAATTTTTTATGAAATGAAATAAAAAGATAAGTTGAAAATGGAATAATGATTTAAAATGGGATGGGGGGGGGGCTGAAAGTGTACCTAGGACCGGATACCAGGGACCAATGGATACCAGGGACCGGTTAATACCGGATACAGGGGACCAATGGATACACGGGACCGGTTAAAACTTCATACGTGGGACCAGACAGGACACCCGGGACCGGCCACAACCGGATACTGGGAACCAGTCAGGATACCCGGGGGTCGGATACCAAGGACCAATGGATACCAGGGACCGGTTAATACCGGATACTGGGGACCAATGGATACAGGGACCGGTTCAAACTTGATACGTGGGACCAGACAGGATACCCGGGACCGGCCACAACCGGATACTGGGAACCAGTCAGGATACCCGTGGGATACTCGGGACCGAATACAAACCGGATACTGGGGACCAATGTATACCAGGGACCGGATACTGGGGACCAGTCAGGATACCGGGACCGGTCACAACCGGATACTGGAACCAGCCAGGATACCCGGGGGTCGGATACCAGGAACCAATGGATACTCGGGACCGAATACAAACCGGATACTGGGGACCAAAGATACCAGGGACCTATTCCATTTATGAAAATAATTTAATTTTAAAAATTTTTCTAACTTAAAAATTATAGTTCGACAAATGTTGGCTGATTCCAATTTGTTGTTCAACTGGTAATGTTTTTCATGAAGAATGAGGTTAGCCCCCCCCCCCCCTACCCCAAAAAAAACTTATTTTTATTTAGGATTAAAAAGAAAAAACAACAAATAATTATTTTATTTTATTTAAATAATTTTATTTTGATAAAATTATAAATATTTATATAAAATTAATTAAATGTTTACCAACATAATATCTAAAATTTTTTGGAATTAATTTTTATAAATATGTTTTAAAGATGAGAGAATACTCTGAATTTGATGCTTTACAACAGGAGGAGGAGGAGGTTGAGTTTAAATTTAATTTTTATAAAAATAATTTAAGATGGACTATAAAGTAGAAAAAATTTTGGGGAAAAAATTAAAAAATGGGAGAGAGCAATATTTGATCAAGTGGTCTGGATTTGGACCAGAATGGAGTAATTTCAAAATTGTTTAAATTTTTAACAATGTTTTTGTTTTAGACTCTTGGGAGCCTAAAAAAAATATACAGCACTTGGACGAATTTAAAAATTATTTTTTGGAGGAGAAGGAAGAAGAATTGTTGGCTAGAGAGGAGAAGCTAGAACGGTTGGATAGATGCTCTCGTAGAGCATCACGAGAAGCTCTAAAAAAAATTTTTTTAATTGTAAAATTTAAAAAATTTTTTACCTTTTATTTGGTTTTTTAATTTTAGAATTCTCCCAATTGCATGAGGCGAAAAATTGTAGACGAAGCACAAGTTGATTCAATGCAAGAAGAGGAGGAAGACGAAGAGGAGGAAGACTTTGAAGGGGGAAATTATGGAATGGAAGGAATGGGGGATGCTTCTTTTGGAGAAGATAGTAATTTTTAAAAATATATTTTGATTGATTTAAAATTAAAAAATTTTTAGAGGAATTTTCTCTAAAAAATTTTTAGAGAAAAATTTTTAGAGGATTTAAAAAATTTTTAGGATTAAATATTTCTCTACCGTTAATACTAATACGCATATTATTTATAAAAGTTTGTCCTATAAGCTGTATTGGCGCAACATTGTCTGCTGCATCTATTTTTACTAATTTTCCATCGGCATCTTCTTTTTTTATTTGAAATTCTGTAAATAGATAGATTTTTGAAAGATCAATGTAATTCTGGCTGCTATGAATTTTAAAATGGTAGGGGGTATCAGTGAGAGGATTGCTAGGTAAAATTTCAAAAACTTTCGAAGAGGAAATACTTACATTTGTTGGTGGGACTTGAAAAAAATCAAGTGCATTTGTAATAGAATTTATACTATCACGATCTATTTTGTGAAATGTCATTTTTAATACAGTCCAAATGCGTCAGTTCTCTGTCTCTTTTTTTTAATAATTCTTTGGGTTTCTGGTATTTTCTTCCTTTTTATACTCCTTCCTGATCCAAACTGTTTGGGTAGACCTCCTTTTTCCAAAACAGTATCAATACCTTTTTTTCCTTCACTGACAAGAGCCTCTTTTATTGGTTCCCCTTGGATAACCCTTCCCAGTGCACGTTGACCTGTGTTTAATGCCTCTTCTGAAACAGTTGTGCCTACTCTACGCATAACGGGTAAAAGAAATCTCCAGAGTCCTCTCATAACATCTCCAATACCTGCTCCTTTTTGACCATATCCTCTCTGAAAAGGATGTGATCCTTTGAAATATTCTTCTGTAATTCCTCCTCCGCTCATTGGAATAAAATCATCATATCCAACTGTACTAGTGTCAAATATTATATGAACCATTTTGTTTATGAATGAAATTCAGAAGTTTATTATCTTCTTAAATATAAGGACCAGGAGTACCGTTCCAAACTCAAATGGTACTGGTCGACCACTATCCATTGTTCTAATTTCAATCTCAATTTCATTTACTTCTTTTGGCAAAACTCGTGCATAAATGGGTGAATCGTATATTTTTTCATAATATTCCCCGGGAGTAGCTCCAGCTACAGAAACAACTCTCAGTAGTGAACTGAGTGAATTGCCTATAATCATATTTTCAGTAAGACCTTTGGAGTATACTGCAAAGCTAGAGAAACCTCCTCGTAGATCACATCCGTATTTGGCAATTTCATTGTTTTGAACCATATTGGGATTTTGAAAACCTAAGACATAGCCTAATTGATTGGAAAAGGAAAGATATTTTATGCTTGGATGGGTGAATGTGACTTTAAATCGTTCAAAGTCACTATGATACAATAATTCTATTGAATCTATAATTTGTTTTTGTGTTGCTGAGTCTATTTTGTGTACTTTTCCATATTTTTTTACAAGGAGAGGCATATTTGGTAGGTAATTTATCCTTGCTTGAGGGGTTACTTTTTGCCCGAGATTAGCAAGTACATAGGTAAGTACTCGCTCATATTCTTCAGTCCATAATGGATCGCTAAAACTTGCTTGAGGTTTTGGAAGTTGTGGTAGTGTAGGTGAACTAGGCAAGGATTGATTTCCATCTGACGATGAAGGAGATGGGGTTTTTAACTCTTCCTCTTTATTTTGTGTCGATGATAGAGAGGTTGGTAAAGGTATTGTTGGAGGTTTCGGAATTTGAGGAGATGGTTTTGGTGGCGGAGGTGGTTGTGGTGAAGGCTTTGGAGGTTGTATTGCAGGTTTTGGGGGTTGTGGAGTTGGTTTTGGAGGTTGTGGTGTAGGTTTTGTGGGTTGGGGTGTAGGTTTTGGAGGTTGTGGCGGAGGTTGTGGTGTAGGTTTTGTGGGTTGGGGTGTAGGTTTTGGAGGTTGTGGCGGAGGTTGTGGTGTTGGTTTTGGGGGTTGGGGTGTAGGTTTTGGAGGTTGTGGCGGAGGTTGTGGTGTTGGTTTTGGGGGTTGGGGTGTAGGTTTTGGAGGTTGTGGCGGAGGTTGTGGTGTTGGTTTTGGGGGTTGGGGTGTAGGTTTTGGAGGTTGTGGCGGAGGTTGTGGTGTTGGTTTTGGGGGTTGGGATGTAGGTTCTGGAGGTTGTGGCGGAGGTTGTGGAGTTGGTTTTGGTGGTTGAAGAGTGGGTTGAGGTGTTATAGGCTTTGGAGGTTGAGGAGTTGCTTCTGGTGGTTGAGGAGTGGGTTTTGGAGGTTGAGGTGTTGTAGGCTTTGGAGGTTGAGGAGTTGGTTCTGGTGGTTGAGGAGTGGGTTTTGGTGGTTGAGGAGAGGGTTTCGAAGGTTGAGGTGTTGCAGGTCTTGGAGGTTGTGGAGCGGGTTTTGGTGGTTGAGGAGAGGGTTTCGAGGGTTGAGGTGTTGCAGGTTTTGGAGGTTCAGGTGAGGGTCTTGGAGTTTCTGGAATAGGTTTTGGAAGTTGTGGTGTAGGTTTTGGAGTTTCTGGAATAGGTTTTGAGGGTTCTAATGAGGGCTTTGGAGGCTGTGGTGTAGGTTTTGGAGGTTGAGGGGTCGGGATTATTTTGGTAAGTTTAGGGGATGAAGTACGAGGCGGAGACTTTAGTTCCCTCTCTGCAGATGATGAAGGGGAAGGTGTTCTATCTCTTTCAACAGAAAGTCTTTTATTAGAGGGTTCTTCTTCGGCTGATGATGAAGGAGATGGTGTTCTAAGTTCTCCTTCAGGGGATACACTACGTTTTGGTCTGCGAACACTTGGAGGTTTTACTAGAGTCTCGTGTTTTTCCAAAGGTGATCCTTCCATAGCTCCTATTTGATGTTGTAAGGTAGATAACAAGAACTGGTGTAAATCCTCCACAGTGGTATGCGAACCTTTGGGAACTGGTACACGAATAACACTTGCCCTTCCATCATTTTTAGTAAAATGAATGTCAATCCATTGTTCGTCAAGCGTACCTATTGTCGAAGGCCATGAATATGGGTAACTTATACTATGCAAACCACATACCCAGTCTCCAGAAAAATATAGTGGTCTTGGTAAATGTACTCGGAATTTATTTGGTTTATTATCTGGGTAATCGGAAACATTACTAGGAAGAAAAACAAAAAATGTATTTGACATCTTTATCAAAATGAAAAATAAATAAATAAATTGGCTTTTATACAAGTTGGGTCTCATGGATCCATTCTCTTTCAGGGTAACCTATAAACTTTACTAATAAATCGAATGTGCCATCTGGTCTTTTCCTTTTTCTTATAACTTTCTCTATCCTATACTCTGTATCAGCATCCTTCTTAACACGAGCCAATTCTTCCTTATAAAATGATCCTTTGAATCTTTCGCCCTTATCGTCTTGTACTTTGTAACGGATTGGTTGAACGTGGTTTTTAACATTTTCTATTTGTAAAATTTCATCACCCCAGTTTGGGATATAACCCTTCTCGAATAATCCTTTTCCTACACTCATACGGACATAATCTCCTTTCTTTAGTTTGGATTTTATTTTCTTTTTGGAATAATCGTTACCATAGATCCGCTCCCACACCTCTTGTGCATTGTCAAAAGTCACATCTATAGGTCTCATTCCGTGAATCCTACTCTTAGACTTATTTATTCCTTCTATAATTTTAGGTAAAACCTGAATCCAGTTGAGTATTTTGTTTTGGGCAAAATAGCGATATATACGCTGTTTAATATTACGTATAGCCCTTTCTGCTAATGATGCTTTCACAATAGAATGTACTGGTTCAGTTTTGTGTATTTCTTCTTTTTCAAAATATTCTGCCATTTGTTTGTTTTTAAATTCTGTGCCTTTATCTGAAAAAATTCTATGAGGTTTCATAGGCATTTGTTCAAATAATTGTTTAAATGCTTGTATCATTTCTTCAGTTCTCTTGGATTTGACTGGAGTACCGAATACTCTTTTCGATAAGACATCAATTCCCAAAAGTAAATACCTATTTCCCTGATTGTGTCTTGAGATTGCTTGAAAATCTGCAAGATCAACCTGCACATCTGTCATAAAACCAGCTGGTATTGTCTTTGCTCTTTTAAAATGAATCCGTCTGGGGCGCATCAATGTATAGGTCCTATGTCCTTCTAAATAATCTTGTACTACGTTTTTAGGTATGTGCTTGATTACTTTTCTAGCCTCCTTCCAAAGTCTATCAACACCTGAAAAAGCCGCTGGGGACTCTGGATTATTGTATAAATCATGTAAAAGTTTTGTATAATCTGCCATTATTTATTTCCACAAAGTTGGTTTGAATCTATTTATAGGTTTAGATTTTCTTTTATTAATATCTCTAGCTAATGGTTTTCTTGGTGCCCATCTAGAAGAAGGAGATTTTGTTGGTACAAAGTGCTTCTTTTCTTCTGGGCTTATTTCTTGTTTGGGGGTTGATGTAGATGGTTTAATTTCCTGAGTAAATGTAGGGGTTTTAATTATCGATGAAAGGTTATCATCTATAAACATGTCAGAATCATCATTTTCCCTAGCTAGACTGGTAGTAGGTCTGGCTGTAATACCTTTTGAACTTGTTACCATCTCTACCTTGACTGGTCTATTTTGTTACTCATGTCGCATTTTTAAATACCTTCGCAATTCTTGATTATAATTAACGTTTTTTGCATTAGGAGTCTGTTTTTTTCGTTTTACCTTCTCAAGATCCCTACGTACAAAATCTAAATTAGGTTCACCACTGTCATGTGTTGTAAGCCCTTTGTATAAATCCTCAGGGACTAAAATAAATTTATTTGTCATTTTTAAATAGTTTGATTCGTGGAATTATCGTTTTTATATATACTCTTTGCAATTTCCAGTAGTACAGGAGTTAAAAGTGCTGCGAAAACACCTACACCTCCACCCTTCTGATTAAGAACATGACGCGCACCTCTTTCGCTCCTTACTCGACTCAAATGACGTACAAACTCTGTATAAGGTATCAGCCGTTTCTTTTGTCGATTTGTAAGTTTAAATCTTTCTTTTACTATATTTAAACAAATCTCAGTTAATGCTAAAAGCTGGGATGTTGTTGCTAATCTTAACAATCTTCTTTGTTTTCTACCTGACTTTGTTCGGGCTAATATTTTCAAAAAATCCACATTATCTTGTAAAAGTTGATTAACCATTATTTCCGTTTTTTGGTATAAAAAATATTTTTTCGTCGTCTTTAAATATGTTTGTCCTAAGTCTTAATAATGGATCTGACGAAGCGTGCATATCAATGAGTAAGTAGCCATAGGGTTGCTTGGTTGCTTGTTGATATGAATCAAGAAAATAGTCTAACTGTCGCGGGAATAATTGTACACCTATATTTCTTACAGAGAGCATCGAGTTAGGGGAACGCATTATTGTAAGATATTGAGAATTTTGCCTAGCCACTTTGATCTTTCGTTCAAATAAATTTTGTGTAATAAAAATGATTGAGAAATTTTGATGATGGGCTTTTTTAGTGAATAATTCTGACAGATATTTTTCAT